ACGGGGGGGGGCACCCGGAAATCCCGAGCCTGTGTTCAGGAGCGATAGGCACACGCCGGTAAGCGGAGTCGATGTCAGCCTTAAACAGTGCCGGTGCGTGCCCGCGCAGACCGTGATAGCAGCGCAGGGCGTCCACCAAAACGTCAGCCCCGTCCAGCAACAACCTCTCGGCGGGCTGGCTCGCCGAGTTGATGCCCCCTCTCGATTCATCGTCTACTACGCGAACCTTGGGCGCGCCATCCGGCTTGACGCCCTGCACAATGGAGAAACGCGGGGACAGACGCACCCTGCCCAAGTCCGCCTGGGCCAGCACAACCGGAGCGGTCATCCGCGACAGAGACGCATCGGCGAGCGCGCCCTCGTGGATCGCAGACGAGTTCACGTCCTCTCGCAATGAAGACAAAATGGCTCTATTGTGCACGGGGGAGGAGGTCCGCAACTCCTCGGACGACGTGGGCTCCGGGAATTTCTTTGCGGGCCATCTGCCCGCATGGGGCAGCTTTCCGAGCAAAGGCGCGCCGTAGCGGAACAGATCAGCCGCGGCCGTGTCATCGTAGCTCGTCATGTCGAGCAGAGCAGCTAAAAGCGGCCCGTTCACGTCGGCGGACACGGCGCGCGTCGCGTCGTCAGCGCCGGCGAACCATTGCTCGACGGCCCCGTCACGTCGTAACGCTTGTCCCCACGCTTCCAGGCGTGATAGCATATTGTCGCGCAGACGCATAACATCTACGCTGTCTCTGGACGCTTCCCACTCTATGGCGCAGCGAACGTCTTCCTCAATCCCGCGCGATGGCGCGATGTGAAATCCGTCCTTCATTGCACAGTTGATAAATTCTATCTTCTGCACGTCGCCAGCGTCAAGCTCTCCTACAACGCGACAGATTTTTAACGCGCGCGCGCGGGAGCACAGACGGATACGCGATGGGGCCTTTCGACAAATGGGCTTGCACCCCGCCCACCGCGGGAGCGCCCGCGCCGGCAACTTCTTCCAGTGAAACAACCGGTGTAGTCTGCGCCCCGCGCGTCCACACCGAATTGGTAGCCTGCGCAAGCGCGACGCCACCGCGCGCGACATACATGTAGGTGCGCCGCGCTTCCAGCCTCCTGTCCGCGGCTTGCTTCACATGTCACCGCTGGACTCTCAGCTGCGCCTGCGCGCCGTCCGGCTACCGCCGTCGCGCGCGCGCGCACCGACCCGCGCCTGCGCGGCGCAGGAACGTTGATCAGCGCTCGTGATGCCTGGCTCTCATGGCCCGCGGCTCCCCGTACTCGCCGCGGTCGTTCGGCGCCGCCGGGGGCGCAGGCGGGAACTTGCCCTTGCCGCCGCCCTTGGCGCCCTTGCCGCCGCCCTTGCCGGGTTTTCCGCCGCCCTTGGCACCCTTGCCCCCGCGGGGGGCTGAGCGCTCCTGACTTTCGCGATCGTACGCGGCCTCTGCCTCGCCCAAGAGAGTCACATCGATCGTTGCCACGACAGTTTCGATGTCGAGGGAATCATCACCGGCGCGAGACCTCTCTGCCCAAGTGCGCCGGCAAATCTCATCGTACACGAGCCCCAGCGCGCCACTCCGATTAGCATTAGGCGCCTGCGCGGCCACCTGCCGCGCCGCGCGCGCACCGCACTCGCGCCGCTGGATCCGCAGAGCAACGGCGATAGGCGGGCCTTCATGACGTTCTGGCGGTGGCGAATCGTCGCAGCCAGCGTCATCTGCTCCGTGCAGACGCAAGCGATGGCGGACCTACGCGCTCGGACGACGCCGTTGCTCTTGGGTGCGCGCCCCGCGCGCAGACGCGTGCACCTGTCGAAGGCGGCATGCCATTGCGTGAAAGTGAGCGACTTCGCTTTGACTGGGTTCGCTACGCCGAGCGCGCGCGAAAGGTCGCGAAGATCCCGAGACATGGGCGGGCCCTCATCAGCCTCCTCTTTCGCGCTCTGCGATTCTGCCCAGGACGGCAAGAACTTCTTCAGGTCAGCGAACACAAATGGCCGCTTGATGCCGCGACGCTGCAGCCGCCTCACGTCCGTCTCGAGGGCGTCGACCGCCGCGGACCGCGGCCAAAACGCCTGGCCCACATCCTACAGAGCGCCTCCTTGCAACTTCGCCTGAATGTCCACGTGGCACATCGGCTCAGGTGCTGACCCGCTCCCGGCCGCGCTGCCTGCGCTGGCCGGATCAGCCGCGCGCTGTTCCTCCGCTGTCAGAGACTTCGCGGCAGCCATCACTCTGGCTAAGAAGGAGCGCTTACCCGCGGACGGGTTGCCCTGCAGTGCGCCGGGATCTGCAAACGCAAGATCACGCACTGACTCCAACTCATTGTCCTGCGCGCGAGGCATTGGCGCGTCGTGGCGGCATTCGCAGCCGCTCGCGGCGCCTGGCATAGGGCTGCGCACTGCCGAAGCCACTCGGCGCCGCGGCTTGTATCATCATGGGCCGCAGGAAAATCAGCCAGGCTCATGGAAAGCGTGGGCGTTGCAGCGCACATCGCTGGTGCGGCCGCGGCGCGCCCAACGGCGTATGCGGCTCGCGTCTTCTGCCTGCGCGCACTGCTGGCTCCGTCGCGTAACAACGATCATTGCGCGCGTCTCCTGACGAATGTCAACATGCTGGGCGGCGGAAACCGGTCGCATTGACGCGGTAATATTGGCGTGGTCGCACTGACACGGTCGCGCTGACACGGTCGCAATGACGCATTCGCTTTTACACATTCGCATTGATACGGTCGCGGCGAGACGGACGCGTTGACATGGTCGCAACGGCACGGTCCCCTTGACACGCCCCACAAGACACGGACGCAGTGACGCGGAGAAATTGGCACGGTCGAAACGACACGGCGTAATTGACGCGTTGCGTTGACGCAATCGAAAAGACGCGGTCGCATTGACACGGCCTTACAGACGCTGTCGCATTGACGCGATCTTACTGGCGCGGTCGCGTCGACACGGCCCAGGCACGGTCGCATTGACACGGCCGCATCGACACGGTCACAGTGACGCGGTCATACTGGCACGGTCGCATTGACACGGCCATAGCACGGTCGCATTGACACGGCTTTATCGACACGGTCGCACTGACACGGTCGTATTGGCACGGTCGCATTGACACGGCCCAGGCACGGTCACATTGACACGGCCTTATTGACCCGGTCTCACTGACACGGTCGTATTGGCACGGTCGCATTGACACGGCCAAAGCCCGGTCGCGTTGACACGGCTTTATCGACACGGTCGCACTGACACGGTCGCATTGGCACGGTCGCATTGACACGGCCCAGGCACGGTCGCATTGACACGGCCTCATTGACACGGTCATACTGACACGGTCATACGGAAACAAAAGCCGCCACGGCGGCCCGCGACGCGCGCACCGAGGGCGCCAGCCTCGCGTTCGGCCGACAAGCGCCCTCGGGGCAGCGCGCGCGACGCGGGGGTATATTTACCCTCCCCCCACCGCAGGGAGACGTGGACAAAGAACACGAACAAGTCGAGGAACACGAAGTCCATGAAGACCTGAGGCGAGCCACCCCAAACGCACCCCCCAACCGACCCAACCCGCCCCACCACAGGCACCGCGGCGAACCGCGGCGCCAGCGGCGGGGCGGCAGGGGTAGAAGGTTCCCAGGTCCGCGTTTTTGTGACAACGAACAAAACTGCGTTGTGTTCTCGCCGAAAAAATAGCCCACGAGGCCCCGTCGATCGCGCGCCGCGCGGCGCGGCGCGACGCGGCGGCAGGCCATCGTACGCGACGTGAATTGTCATGGGCACCCCGGCTTGAAGCGGCGCCGGCTTGCCAGAAGGGGCGGCGGCGGCCCCGCGCGCCGCCCCCGAAACATAACATAATGCACTCCACATTCGCGCGAGCGCCATCCGCGCCGCCCCCGAATGCCACTCCGGCGATTGGCGCCGCGAACGCCGAGGCAAGACCTCGGGAGCTGGCGGGCCCAGCTGCAGCGCGACAGCCGTCGGCGAATGCGCTCGTCACTGGGCGGCGCCAGTGGCAAATGCGTCGCCCTCCTCGTCGCGTCAAAGAAACGAAGGGAGCGGGGAGGGGCTACCCCCGCGGGAGAAGACTGCCTGCTCAATGTTACATCGCGAAGAGCATTGAACCGACGGTGCTTCGACGAAGCGCCCACAGACGAATTCTCGCATGTGACATGCGACCTGGATGTCTCATCGCTGGGCGCAGCCCCTCGGCGCCCCCTCTGTCCACGCAGGGCGCGTGCGCCTAAACGCATGCGCGGCATTGCGATCGGCGCGCGCACGGGCGGCGCCCCCAACTATTCCCCAGGGCGTTCCGCCGCCATTGCCGCGGAATGGCGTCGCGGGCAGCGCGCGGGCACGTGGTCCCGGCGCGCTATTGCGCGCAAAATACGCAATGCGTGGCTATGGCGCATCGCCTGGCGCCGCGCTGAATGCCAGGCGGACCATGTCCGCCTCTGCCTGCGACGGAGCCGGCGACGTCCCCCGCGCCTCTACGCGCCCGATTCACAACGACACTCCTCGATCAGTTCCCCCAGCATGCCCAATATCTTCGCCCGCGCCTCTTCGCTGGAAGCCGCGCGCCCACGAGGCGCCCGTTGCGCGCGGCCCCCTTGCCGCGGACAGGTTCGGTGCTCGTGAAGTTCGCGCCTGCGCCTCCTTATCGTCTAAATCCTTTTCCATGTCCTGCCGCGCACCGCCGCGGCCGCTGCTGGGGCGCGCTGCGAGCCCAACCTCCACGAGATCTGCCACTGCGGGAAGAGGGGCTCGCTGCCGCGCCCGACACTTTAACATCGACCTGTCGCGCGCGCGCTGGTCTGGCGCGCTCGACCGGGGACTGAACGGCAACGGCGGAGGTCGCGTTCTCTGCAGGTTGCCTGCACAGCTCTTTCCACAAAAGCATTCCGCGGGCGTGGCTTCATTGTCGTGGCCATTTCCCGAGCGCGGTTGCTCCCTGGCGCCCGGTGCCGCGCGCGAGGGCGCGGCCGCGGCAACTGCGGCGCGCCGATAACTGATCCAACGCGGCGGAAGTGAGAACGCGCATTTCTTCGCTTGCCTGCCGATGCATCTGCTGGCTACCCTGGGCGACGCGCTCGTCTCCTCCGCGCGGGTGCGCCTGCTCGAACATCAGAATTTCTGCCTGTCTCTGTTTCTGCTCAATGCTTTTGATTTTTGCGAGGGCAGCTCCCCCGACGGGAGCCCGGCGCTCGACGGCCACGCGGACAGAAGAATAATTGCCATTGACATTTTTCCCGTCTTCAGACGCAAAGAGAGAGCCGGCGCCGAGGTTTTCACGGCCGCGATCATCGACCCTGCAACGCCCCCCCCCCCCCCAGGATGCCCCCCCAAGAGCGCTGTCTCGCGCGCCGACTCTTGGCCGCCGCCGCCGCGCCCTGGATTGCCAAGCTGGCGTTTTCCAAAGTCCCGGCTAATTCGGATCGCAGGCCGGCCCATAATTCCTCGCGCGACTCGCGCCCAAAGTCGGCGTGGACAGAAAGGCCGACGCGACAAGCGCGCTGGCGCTAGGCGCGGCAGCCGGCGGCGCGGGCCGCTGCGAGATGGCCGCGCGCGCCGCCGGCAAGCAAAATCGCGCCGACTCCAGCGCTTCCCGCGCGGCGACAAGAGATGCGACGGTGGCGGCGACGTCGGGCAGCGGGCGCGCTCCGGGAGCCTGGCCCGAACCGGCCCAGCCCAGCCAAACCGCGACGGCTCAGGCGACTGAAGCGCCAGGCGAAGAGAAATGATCGGCAACGAACTATTCGAGGAGCCGCTTCCGACATCCCTTTTGCGCCACAGTGCACAAGCTCGCTGCCGCTGGCTCGCCGACGCCAGCATAAATTGCCCGCGCGGGAGTTGCAGAGCGGTCGCGCACCGCAGCGCGATGCCGATTTGTAAAATAATCGCCAAGGGCATGGCGCCCAGCTTGCTTCGCGATGGATACGCTCGAAACCGCGATGTTCGCGCGGACCTGCGCCACGCAGGCCCCTGGGACATGCCCGGGCGCCAGGAGGGCTCGCCACTTCGCGTGATAGCGGATTCGGAGAAGGACGCCGGTTCCGATTGCGCGCGGGGGCCAGCCATCTTTTGTTGAAACTTTCGGCGGGGGGCCACTTTCGCCGGCCGTCCGCGAGGGCTCGGGCCTTGCCCGCGCGGGAGTAGTCGGGGCGGGCCAAAAGGGCGCGGCGGCGGGCGCGGAGGGGTCGAGCCGGCCGCGCCGTTCGAATGCGCGGATCCCGCTCTGCGCTGCGACGGCGCGTTGCCTCCTCAGCAAACCTAGGCTCCGAAAGAATTTACCTCTTCGGCGATGGAAGAGGGCGGCGCCATCTCATCGTCGCTCGTCAATCATTGCATCCGGCATCATCATCGTAACCATCTGTCTCATCGCCACAAAACCTCCGCTGCCCGCCAACATCATCAATACCTTCGCAATTCTGCGCGCCAGGAGATTTTGATGAACAAGCATAGTGCCCGTCACGTGGGTATATAATGCGAGCGCGCGCTTGCGAAACTGTCAAGTCCCGCCTCGGCGCGGGGGGCAGGGTCTTACACTTTTCGGGGGAAAAACAAACTTCGCGCGCGCATCCTGATCGCCGGCGCGTGACGCGACGGCGAAGGCGGCGACGGGCACCCACCGCCCGAACGAAAGACCCGTCAACGGGGGAACGGTTTGGGCAGCGACGCGCACCAAGTTGCACAAGTGCTCCGAGAAGCAGCCAGCAAGCACTTCTTCTCCTACGCCGATGCCCAGCCCAAGCATTCTTCTCGCTCGAAGTGGGCCCTATCAGCACCATGTATATGTGATGCATATACGTAACAGATGTTATATGAGAGAGAGGTGATATTATGGTTGCTGTTCCTGTTGACCGGCTGCGGGCGCCTCGCGTTTGCTGCTCACTCCCCTCTGGTAAATACTGCTTCCAAACCAGAATGCTGCCGCTGCGCAGCCCTCGTGTTCACTCGGCATCGCGGGCGCCCCCCAGACTCTGCGGCTCGGCGGCGCTGTCTGGGACATAGCAGCGCTCACTGCGCCGCCGCCGTCGAGCACGGCCAGAAAGCGCCGCATTGGAATGACCAATACTCCAGCATCGCGTCATTGAAATTCGAAAAACGCGTTCGCCCCTGCGCGCGCCCCGCTCCGCGAGGCCCCCGCCAAGCGCCGCGCGCTCATCGCCAAATTCGATGTCGGAGGCGCGGGGCCAACGCAGCGCGCGCAGGGGCCGCTGTTACCCCGCAGGGGGCCGAGCAGCGCCGGCGCTTCCGTTGCGCGCCTCAAACATTGAGGGCACCGCGGTTTGGATCCCTCGGACCGCCTTGGGCTCGCGCAATCGGCTCTGCGGGGCCTGGAATTGTTGCGGCACGCTGCGAAGTTGCGCGGCGGGGGCGACGGCGCGCGCCGCGGGGGCGCGCCAGGCCGCCGCGCACCTTTGCATGGCCAGAAAACCTACGCCCGACTGGATGGCGCGACGGCGTCGCATGAGCAACCGCGGGCAGTCTGGCCTGGCATTGCGTCGACCATCTCTGCTTCGCTTTAATCGACCACGCAGACGGCGCCAGCCTGCCGCGCGCCGCGGTCGGCCGAGCAAGCCGAGCCCTCCACGGGCGCACCCGCCATGGGTCGCGACGGCGCGCGCCGCGCCCGCAACGCCCATTCGCATCGACGGCCGGATTTGACATTGCCCTGTTCTGCTTCGGTTTAAATCGCAGCTTGACGTTGCCTGGCTTCGCCAGACACTCATGTGCATTGAATTTCGTTGCTGGAGATTGTCTGGCGCTGCTTGGCCTTGCCTGTATTTGCATTGATTGGCATTGCTTTGCTTTGCTTAGCATATTCGTGCACTGCTTGGGATTGCTTGGCGTTGCCTGGCATTGCTTAGCACTGCCCAGCATTGCCTGGCGTTGCCTGGCCTTGTTTGGCTTTGCTAGGCATGCGTGGCGTTGATCGGCGGCCCTTCCCGCTTCGATCGGCATCAGATGCGGCCTTCAGACGGCCTGAGGTCGCTGTGGATCCTTCGCGCGATGCTTCAGAAACGCCCGCATTATTCAACACTCTAAATGCTTCCGCTTCGTTCGTTGTCTCGCCCACTCGCCCCCGACGGCCTCCGAGGCCCCTGCGCGGCTTGGGGCGGCATCGGGGAGGGGCCGTCGAAACTCCGGGGAAGCCATCGTGGGCGTCGAATAGATCTATCTCGAGAAGGCCGCAAGGATTTTTTCTGTGGCTCCGATGGGGGGCAGTCAGTCGTTGAAGCGACCCCCCCCCCTTTCGCCGACGGCCTCCGCGGCGACTTGGGGCGCCGACAAACTCAGAGCCCCGCGCGAGAGGAAACCACAAGAAAACCACGGGGCTGCCGAAAAGGCAGCCGAGAAGCTCCCCGAGTCCCCGAAGTGAGCTGCGCAAGCGCTATTCACCTGAAGGTTCCTTGGAAGCATGCTTGAAGCAGTCATTGGAGGGCGAAAGAGGGGGTCTGCAACAGGGGGTCTTCAATGGGGGCTGAATGGCCCATGTATGCTCAATGTATCGCTCATGTATGTGAACGGGTACGATTGGCATCCAATGTTGGCGGTCATTGAGGGCCAGTCGTTCGCGCCCGCGCGTTGCCCGCGCGGGCACACGCGCCGCCCATCCATTATCGTTCATGCGTGCGGGGGTTCTTGCATATTGCGCGTGGGGCAGCGAAGCGGAGTGCAAGTGTGTCTTGATTGTGCGATTGATGATCGTGTATGTTCCCAAACGATGACTTCTCGACCCCCTTTTTCCCAAAATGTGAATTCACATCTTCCTTTTTCCCAAAATGTGAATTCACATTCTGGCCCCTTTCATAAAGAATCCTACACAAAATTCCAAAATGTGAATTCACATTTTCCTTTTGTCCAAAATGTGAATTCACATTTTCCTTTTTCCCAAAATGTGAATTCACATTTTGCTTTCCCCCACAATGTGAATTCACATTTTGCCCTGGCCTTCGAGATCCCCAACACTGAAGCGTTTTGTTCCTCATGTCAGATTGGCTGGGCAAATTTCGACACTCACCTGACCGCTTTCGTGTGTTCCAGCCTTTTCTTTTTGCGCCCTCAGCGCACGTTGCCTTCGTCGCCTTTCCCGAGCCCCCCGCCCCCTTGCTTCCTTTCCTTTCAAGTATCGCGCATGGGTGCAAGCGGGGGGCTTCCATTAGTTCCCCCGCCGACCACAGCAATCGAGGATGCATCGCCCATTCATGGCCCATAAAGACATGATTGCCGGGACCCTGCGGCCGACCCCCACTTTCACCCTCCAAAGTCATCTCCCGGCGGGCCCCCGGGCGCGCTGCCGGGGCCTCGCCAGGGCGGCCTCGAGGCCCCCGTGGCGCGTTGGGTCAGCCGCTTCCGAACGCAATGCGCAAGCGATTCAGCGTTCCCACCCGTGGAAGCCGCGCGAGACAAGATAAGACACTTCGCCCGCAATTTTTAAATTGGAGAACGCACATAAAGCAATCGCAACGCACAGTGTATCAAATCCACCCACCAAGTACACGGTAAACTATGGTTGTTGTTTTCCTCGTTTGTGCTCGCGCACAGTGTCTCATTAGAACAAATTCAAGGCGAAGGCAACGGCCGGCGGCGCGGCCACCTCGTCGCCGCCGTCGGCGCGGTCGCTGCGTCACCGCGGGCACAATGGCAAGTAGACGGCTAGTCGCCGCCCGTTGCCGCCCGTCGCCGCCACCCGCGCGCCGCGTTTGCGAACCACCCTACATTTCAATCGCATGGCGTTGCGTTTCTTCGCGTTCCATGACCATGCTATCGATTGGCTTGCATTGCTTGGCGCGGTGCTGCGCTGCTTTGCACTGCATTGTTTCGCATTGCGTTGCGCTGCTCTACGCTGCTTGCCATAGCGTTGCTTTGCGTTGCGCGTTGTTACGTTACTTTTGCGTTGCGTTTCTTTGGCTTCGGATTGCTCCCCGTTGGTCGGCATTGCTTTGCATTGCCTTGCATTGCGCTGCGCCGTTTTGCATTGCGCTGCGTTTATTCGCATGGCTTTGCGTTCAAGTTGCATTGCTCTGCGTTGTGTTGCATTACATTGCCTTGCTTCGTGTTGACTTGCCTTGCGTTGCATTGCAGTGCCTTGCTATTCGCTGTGTTGCATTGTTCTGCGTTTCTTTGCGCTGATCTGAAGTACGTTGCGCTGCCTAATCTAGTGTCACGCAGGGTTGCTTCGCATGGCCTTGCGTTGCGTTGCATGGATTCGCGTTGCGTTGCATAACTTTGCGTCGGTTTGCCTTGTTTTGCATTGCTTCGTGAAAGCGACGCGCGCTCAACGCCGTCGAGCGCGATGAACTGAACCCGCAATTGGGCAGGGCGCCGCTTCGCCGCGCAATGACTCCGCGAAACAGCAAATCCATGACGCACCAACGCGACCACGACGCGACGCACCGAGCCCGTCGCGCACCGACTCCGCGACGCGCCTGCGCCGTGACGCACCGAGTCCGCGACGCACCAGCGCGCCGACTCCATGGCGCACCGATGCCACGGAGTCCTTGACGCACCGAGCCTGCGACCCAATGACGCGCCGACCCCATCGCGCACCGATTCCGCGACGATCCGATCCCGCGCCGACCCACTTCCGCGCCTGACCTACGCGTCAATTCCGACCCGCCAGCGCCAAGGGGCGCGAGGTTGCTGTTTGGTGGTGCCTTAATATTTGAATTCGGGCCGTTCTGACGCAAGCTTCAAATCTGTTCACGGCGCCCGCGAGCCTTCTGGAGGCTCTTCTGGGACCTCGGCGACAGGCGAGCTCGGGGCGAAGCCGTGAAACCGCCACTCTCCGCGCGGGCGCTGTCCTCGGAAAAAATGCGCGCGCTGCGCCGCCAAGACGCGATGGCGCCGCGCTCCCGGTGAACTATTCCAAGAACTGCGCGCCGTCTCGCCAGCGCGACTGTCTGGAACGCATCGGACAGACTGGC